TAGTAGTAGTAGTAGTAGTAGTGGTAGTAGGAGTAGCAGTAGCAGTAGCAGCAGCAGCAGCAGCAGCAGCAGCAGCAGTCGTCGTCGTCGTCGTCGTCGTAGCAGCAGCAGCAGCAGCAGCAGCAGTGGTTGCAGCCCCGTATATTCCCTATGTAATTGTGTACTTGTACCACACCATGCCCCTGCCCCCAAACCTCGTCATTGGCCACATGCAGTCGCAGTCTGTCCTCAGGCTTCGAATTGGATCTCTCAGATCGCTCGGATACTTGGCATGATCTGCGCAGCTTCGGTACAATCACATGTGCGAAGCGCAACCGTTAATTGCAGCTAGGTTCTGCTTTTGAGGTCCTCTACAAGCCCCCTGGCTGGGAGGTGCAGACTTCCGGGGAGCTTGGGCACCACCAGCTCTCAGCCAGTCCCTCAAAGAATGGCGTGAGTCGTGACGATCTGGGAAGCCAGGGGTGTAACCGATGCCTGGAAACAGCTGAGGCTTTTGTGCAATGGACTGTGCCGCAGAAGCGTCCCATTCTGCACGATGGGTACAGTTCTTACGGCTTCCTGCACCGTTTGGATGTGGCTCGGAAAGCACCGTCCAGATGCTGGGTCACCTCCCCCCTGTTCTAGAGGGCCTGCCCTCCGCAGGGTGCGAATTGTTACTCAATTCTGCGCACGTCCCTTTGATCTTCGACCTAGCCACAGGGGGATTTCAAAGGCCGAACACCCGTAATCGACTCCTAAGGTTGGTCGCCTGCTCTCTCTCTCTCTCTCTCTCTCTCTCTCTCTCTCTCTCTCTCTCTCTCTCTGTCTTTCTCGGCCTTTTTCCTTTTATCTTTCTTTCTCCTTCTCCTTCTCTTTTGCTTTCTCTTTCTCTATCTTTCTCTTTCTCTATCTTTTTGTTTCTCTCTCTGTCTCTCTCTGTCTCTCTCTGTCTCTCTCTGTCACTCTCTGTCTCTCTGTCGCTATCTCGCGCTCTCGCGCGCTCTCGCTCTCTCTCTCGCTCTGTCTCGCTCTCGCTCTCCCTTTCGCTCTTCCTCTTGCTCTTCCTGTCGCTCTTCCTCTGGCTCTTCCTCTTTCTCTTCCTCTCTCTCTCTCTCTTCCTCTCTCTTCCTCTTTCTTCCGCTCTCTGTCTCTCTCTTCCTCTCTGTCTCTCTTCCTCCCTTCCTCTCTTTGTCTCTTGCTCTCTCCCTCTCTCCTCTCTTCATCTCTTCCTCTCTTCCTCTCTCTCTTTCTCTCTGTCTCCTCACTCTCGCTCTCTTTTGCACTCCGTCATGAACTCGCTCACGCATGATAGCTTTTGCCCGACCTGTCCGGTCTTTTTTCCTGTAGCCAACATCTCGATTCGTGCATCGTATAAGGTTGCCACATCTGGCCTGGTTCTGCATGCGAAGAGCTATGTGGCCTACCACGACCTAGCAGCCTGGTTGCATCTTTTGCGAGGGGCCTGAAAAGCCCAGCTTCCGGCCGAAGGCCTCAACAGTGCCTGGCTTCTGATTTCGCAATCAAGGACTTGCAGCTCCTGCGGCGCGAGATTGATCGGGAGTACCTAGTCCTAGCGCATGGTCTGGTCTCACCTTCTCGCACCTCCCTGCGCCTGCCGGTCTACGTGGGAAAGGTTGCATGGCACTTTTAGCTGTGAGAAATAGCTTATGTGCGTGGAGCCGTGGAGCAGAGTGTCGAGGATTCGGAAAGCCGCCCAAGCCAAGTGGCAGTGCCTGGTGCACGATACAGCCTCAGCCACATGAAGGCCAGAGCCTCGAAATTTGATTTCGAAGAACAAAGAGGCGAACAGTACCCCTTCCGCCAGGTTCTTGCCCATCTCGGGCCACGGCAGTCCACCAGTCTGCTGACGATGAAGATCGATACTGGCAGGCGCACCTCTGCGGCAAGGAGCTGGGATGTGGGATTGCCATGGCCCCAGTGGCTGCCAACAGCGTCGCGGTGCTGATGCTAAACTGACGAACAAGGACATCAAATCCGAGCCCAGACATCGCACATGGGCCACGCGATAGTGTGTGACTGGCTCTACACTGCGGAGCCCACATATTCCACGGACAAGGTGGCTCCTCATACGCTGGGTTGAAGCTTAATCGTATTTGCTGCTGCTAGTTGGTTTCTGTTTGACATTCAGACAGAGGAGTGGTGCTGCCGAACATTCCTGCACCGTCATCGTCTGGCTTTCAAAGACAAAGATGGAAAGCAGCACGATGTGCTCTATCCTCAGTCGGCAATGCCGCAGTGCTTTCTGGTGAATCTGAGTTGCGCCCATCACTGAGGACACTTGGGCTGCCAGAAGACCTGCGCAAAGCCCTTGCATCCTTGGCTGCGAACCTTGTTGCATTGTGTCGGCTTCAGTCATGCAGGATGTCTTGTAGCTTGCAAGAGCCGGTCAAACTTAGGAAAGACGACGCGTCGAGGCTTGCCGTGCAGCACTTGCCCATACAGACTTTTGCAGACTACCCAGTGCTTTCCAAAGCTGACTGCACGTGGTAGCTGCGGCTAATGCCAGGCTCGAGTAGCCGACAAAGGCGTCTGCACCCGATGCTTGGTGAAACTGCCGAGCGAGGTGTGGACCGTGTACATAGACTCATCGAGCCTAGACTTCTGCTTGATGCCGTGGATTAACATAGCTCGCGACGGCTTTGGTAGTGTGATAGCCAAGTTCTTGCCGAAGCAAGCAACACTTTAGAATGCACCGTAATGCCCCGCAATGCTGGGCACAAGGATGGTGTTTGCAATGCCCTTGCCAGTAGCTTCGAGCTGAAGGCTTGAGATGCGGAGGCACCTCCAGGACCTGGATTGGCTGAGTTTTCATTCAGATGCTGGATTTTCGGCGAGAGCTCGGGGACAATTGCTGTGTGCCGACATGCCCGCAACAGCATCCATAGAGCGAAGGAGACATGCAGCCTCATCCTTTTTGTTTGGAGGCGACGACGATCCATTCAGTCAAAAAATAAAACCTTGGAATTCCAAGTGTCCAAAGTGGATGCCAGGCTATGGTACACGAACTCATGGGTTCTGCCGGAAGCTGAAGCCACTGAAGAAAACATGGTTTCCGCCGGAAGAACCAGAACCTGTGCAAGAGCCATCGGGACAGCCTCGACAGCCACCGGGACGACGCAGACCAAGAAACAGATCCGCACCTTCTCGAGGACCTGGACGTTCCCCTGCAGCGCGCAGGGCAGCAGGGGCAGCAGGGGCAGCAGGGGGAGCGGCGGCAGCGGCAGCTGTACACGGAGCTTCCAGGTCCTCAAAGTCGGCCTGGGAGAAGCCGGCGGCTGAGGCCCGACACGACCAGATGAAGGCAAGCACGGAGAAGCCGGAGGTCCCCTTCACAGCCCCGGCAACGCCTCGGCGAAGGCGCCTGCCCAGACGTCCGGCTCGAGATCCTCCGATTCCGCCAGGAGAGCTGGAGAATGATTTCGCTCCGGCTCCAGCACCTTCCAATCGACCGAAGCCCAAGAAGGGCCCATTCCCAGAAGAGGAGCCCTTCGAGCCTAAGCCGGGAATTATCGTTGAGCTCCCGACGAAGCCCAAGGCCCCATCTCAGGATCAAGTTGGCACCTTCGAAGATGACGACGTAGCGAACGAGGAGAAATTGCTTCCTCCAGAGGCCAAGAAAATTATCAAGTCTCAGCTCAGCAAAGAAGGGATTGAGGCTGCTTACGAGAAGGAGGAGCGAGACTCGCTGCCCAAAGAAATCCCAGGCACGACTCCACAGGGGCCTTTCTGGCCTCCTCCCAGCACTGCCCCTCCTGTCCAGCCAATTCCGCCCCGCCCAGGTGAGGCAAACTACAACTATGGTTGGGTGCCACCGGAGGACAGGACGCCCTACAGCCCACCCTGGCCAGGAGGCGGCCCAGAGGTAGCGGTGGACCGTGCAGAGGCCGTGGTCGAGGAGATCAACGACGATGCAAATGCTGTCATTAAGACTGCAGAGGACGCCGTTGTGAACACGGCCAGGACTACAGAAAATACCTTGGCGAACACGACCGTCTAAATAAGTCGTCCGAAACAAAAGAGCTTCACAACGCGTCCTCCCGCCTCCTGCAGAAGCTGAACAAGTCCACTCGTCCTCCGGCGAGGCCACCACAGACCGGACTGAAGACCCTGGCTGCCACATCGCAAGCTTCTGATGGCCGCTCCATCGTGGCGATCGACGCAGCAGCACCATCTGCTGGATGTGGACGAAGATCTTCCGCGAACCTGCCGGGAGCAGGAAGAACTCAGGAAAGTGGAAGTGCGGAAAATGCGACTGAGGGAAGCCAATCCCATCAAGCCACTCTAGGAGTTGTTGGCCCCAACCACGTTTCCTCCTTCCGGCCGTTTGGCTCCGTAGGTTGAAGCACAGCTTCCCTTGCAGCCAAGCCTAGCAGATTCCAACCCTACCCACCCATTGACAAGTTAGCACCACCTCCGCTGTTCAATCCGTCGGATTGTGGGATATGCAGCATGAATCAGATTTAGACATGGTGCCGAGACATTGCTGACCCGCAGCTGGAGATCTTCGCTACAAAACCTTCCCGTCTTGTACTCCGAATGCGAAGGTTACTGAGAAGCATCGCCAGTAGCAATGTCCAGACTTCGGCCATAAGCCACTTCGCTCCGGGATGCCGCCCAAAAGTGCCCTGGTCCTGCATGACGGTAGCTGATGAGGTTTGAGGGAAGCCTGTGTCGCCCATTAAAGGGTTCTTGAGCCTATTCCTGTTTGAAGACAGTGCGTTGCATCCGAGGTGCCGTGCCGAAGTACACCATACGGGTTGGCCTTATATGGCTGGTGCCGTCCGTTAGCTTGCTGTTAGGTTGTTTTCACCTCATCCCGCTGCTGCTGGCGGCCCTGCTGACCCCCTTAGAGGTGCCAAAGGCGGGAGATGGTGCTTGATGCACAATGCATCATGTCAGACACAGCTCCTTATTCTTGCTGGATCAGATCCGCGCCAAGCTCTTCGGCAATCGAGCCAAGAAGCTACTGCCGTGCTTGCGGGTGCCAGAGCTCAGATACATTTGCCACAAGCCTCGTCTCGAGTGCGCCCGCCACAGCTAGGTGCCGGCCTTGCTGCGCCTGTCGGTGTTGTGGCTGTTGCAGGCATGCAGGGGGGCGTCTTGCAGACAGCGGCAGCAGATGGAAGCGACGAGAGACGTAAGGTGTGCATATTGCCTCATGGCCCCCCTGTGCTGTGAGGTTTGGTTCATCATCCTCTGGAGAGCGAGCAGCCCAGAGGTTTCGGATGCCGGAGCTGCAGCGGCAATGGGTGTCATCGGCCCTGCGCTCAATCGACAGTGGTTACGCAGAGCGTCGCTTTTCGTTCTGTACCAGTGACTATTCTTGCCACAAGCTGACGAATCCGAGGTGACGGCATTGCCAACTTAGCCACCGATGAGGTGTTGCAACGGATATCTGTCGTCCTGCCATGTGCTGGCGAGGAGCGGAACTCAGTCACTTCTGAGTCTACCGATCGCCAAATCTTACGTTTGCTGTCCAACTGTCAAAAAGACAGCGGCTCAGGGACAGTATGCCTTGAACACCGTTCGTGCGGTCTACGAGTCCATGCCCGCAAACATCTTGCATGAGATCATCGTTGTCGACGATGGATCAGAGCCACCACTGGCAGAGTCTTTCTTGACTCGAGATGTGGTCAATGTCTACAAGGTCACCATCATACGCCATGTCTGGGCCTCCAACTGATGCCTCTGCTGCTTGCTGCAACTCAGTGTCGGTCATAAGGAGTTGCTGCTCTTGGCACTCTAGGCCCAAACAGTTGGTCTCATTGGTGCAAAGAAGGACTGGCGGCAGTCATGATCCGGTCACGGCTGAGAGTCAGCATTGCTCCAGTGAGCATTCCGCACTTCTCGGACACGAGGATGGTAGTGATGCTGCAACCGGCGACATTGCTTTGGCCCCAGAATTTCGCTTGGAGGATGAAACACCACGTCCAAGAATGACTTAGGTGGTGTTTTTCGATTGCCACGTCGCTCCCCAGCCCGGTTGGCACGAGTCCTTCCTCAGGCTCGAACACGCAGCTGTGAGTGCGTGTAGACTCTAGACTCCTAGACCCAAGCCCACCGACTTCCACAAGGAAGTTGTGTTGGGATGACCTAGGAAACCTGAGTCAGCAAAGTCAGGCTGAAATGCGCAGGTGTCTTGTCTGAGTGCCGCCCGGCTGTGCAGGCTGATCGGCGAGAATTACCGCCGAATAGTGACGCCTGTGATCACGGACCTTGATGTCGGGACCGGCTGCTGGGACGGTCTGTGCACGGCACCCTACTTGGGTAGAAAGCGCCTGAGACTTTGTTTGTGACGATTCCCAGAGAGGACCTGGCAGCAAAGAGGCGGCAACCAGGGACAGGCGGGGGTGGGGGGGGGGGGTCTGGCTCTCGCTGTATATCTTGAAAATGCACGCACTCCTCTTTCTGAAAGAAAGTCTGGGCGAAGGCCAAGTGCTACTTGACCTGGGATGCAGATTTCAAGTGGTTCACATCTGACGATCCGCCGGAAGCTGAGCAGTGCATTTCAAGGCTTTGGCAATCGGGGATTCAGGCGTGTCTTTGAGGTATGTGCCTATCCTCTCTGGTGGGCTCTTGGGCATCAGCAAGAGATGGTGGAATGAAACAGGAGGCTGGCAGGGCAGTCTCACAACTTGGAGCTCTTGTGGCTTGCGTTCAACAGCAAGGCTACGATGTCGAGATGGTCGGATGGGGCGGAGAGAACCTCGACCAGTCCCTCAGGACCGACGAGTGCCTTCCTGCCTTCTTGCAGCGGTCGAGAACGCACGTGCACGCCTGTAGGAGTTGGCTCTGTGGCGGTGAGATCATGATGGCACAGGCAGGATCCTCACGGGAGATGCCACATGCGAAATGCTCCAGCTTCTCGCTCTTGCTTGTGACAGGACTCGTTCGTTGCCCACATGTGGCGCTCGTCCAGAGATACTCGAACCAAGGCCCACTACAAAGTCCAACCAGGCAGGAATCATCAATCAGCACGAGCTTGACTGTTTTCTGTCACAGAGAGCATGCGAGAAAGTGGTTGTCAGCCCCTTCTCCTCTGTGTTCGGTTGTCATCGTCACCGTCGGAGTAGTTGTGGACTCGACGAGTCTCTGCAAGCGACCTGCGCCTCAAGGTTCGTCAGCTGACGGTGCGCGTGTAGCGGAAGTCGAGACTGCTTTGTCTTTGCTCCAGCGTCTGCAGCAGAGTATTGCGAATAAGTTGTGAGCCCAGGCTTGCGCTTACCGCTGAATGGCCCAGTTGCTTTTCGTCCTCATCCCCGTGCATGTCGTCGCCGTGCTGGTCGGTAGCCGGTAGCAGTCGCAGCGTCAGTGCCGCAAGATTCCGCATCCGCGCTTGCGCCAGCAGCATCCAGTCGTCGACACTACTGTAGTGGTCTTTGAAAGCACGGAGACCAAGCATGGCATCGGAGCAGTAGTTCTTTGGTGCTTTGAGAGCGCAGGCGCCGCTGCACGGAACAGACTGCGAGCTGCTGTGGCTTGGCGGAAACCTCAGCACTACAGTGGCCCCTCCTCGTGCCAAGCTTTCTGTTTGCGTCTGCTATACCTCGTAAGTCTGGAAGAAGGTTCGGCGACTTCTCTCAGAAGCTCTCGTCCTTCCCGGGCTTGCAGTACGAGAGAAGAAATGCAGACGGGACACCATGGTGACCTTTTGCAAACACCAGGCATGGGTGGTGCTTGACACTGTTCGACGCAGGTACGGGAACCTGGATAACATCCTGGAGGTGAAAACTCGCCTAGGGTGCTTGTCTCGAATCATCAGTGAAGCCTACTGCCGGTACTTGCGAGTCAAAAGGTGTAAGTCCTTCGCCTGGTTCATGAACCGCTTCAAGCACGTCTACGAGGAGCTTGGGGACTTAAGAAGGGGTCGCTTATTGCACCGTCACATCGGTCAGGACGGAGGACTGATCCCAGCAGAGACCTTCCGCATCGAGCGTGACGGCGGCACGCGACCCCAGCTGCTTTCCCTCATGGCTGAAAAACCTGGGGGACCGTTTCTGATCCGGAGGCCGGTGCCTGACCTACGAGGGCGGTGCTGGGCCGAGGGCTCAGATCAAGCAAGGAAGCAATGTTTGGTGTTTTCGTGGCTTTTTCACTCAGGACGAGCCCAGATGGCAAGGGCACTGCGGTGAAGGACCCAGCCTTCCAGAACTACAGCGAAGTTTAACTTTGCTGTGCCATGCTATGAGGTGCCTTAAACCCCTAAAGCCACTATCAGGTGCTTCGGCCATGCTCCTCAAGCGACGAACGCCAGCGCTGGCATGGGGCTAACAAGGAGCTCCTTGTATCCGTCTTTCTCTTCCACTGCCGACTTGGATCACAGGACCTGAGCCAGTCTGGAAAGTCGTCTGGGGCCCGGCAGAATTTCGTTCTGGGTGCCGGCAAAGCAAGTAGCCTCTCTGAGTCACAAACAGCAAAGGACAAAAAGTATGAGTCGGCAAGAGTTCCGATGTGCGTAGTACTGCGTAGCGCCGTAGCGTATATAGACGGTCTTTTGTCTTGTTGAAAATCCTAGCCTTTGAAATTCGAAAGTCCTCCCGCCCGCAAGTCAGGTGTTGTAGCGGTCTGCGGGCCTGGAACACAGACCAGTGCATAAATGGAGTGTTCTCGGCATGCTTCCGAAATGTCGCAGCACAAGGAGTTGGATTTGATGTCTAGTGCTTTGCCAGGCATCCGGTGGGAAGGTCACCACCTTTGTCTGCGACATCTCCGGGAAATTGCTTCAACAGGTGGTCGCTAGCTGTCATGTTGACCAAGCCTTGCTTTCCTGTTCCTGCACGGAGGCTTGGCGTTTTGACCCTTCCGGACAGCTGCAGAAGCAAGGGAGAGGCTCTGAAGCCGAAGGCTGCAGCCATGTCAAGAATTGGTAGTGACCGGTTTTGCATCAGGGGGCTTCATGCAAAGCACGGAGTGTATAGTGACCACACCCGGTGACGAGCAGCTGGAGGCGCGGTTACGTTTGGCAGAAGCAGGCGCAGCTGTTTCGAGCGTCTGTGTGGTTGGAAATTGCTCCAGGTGCAGCGATGCCCCAGCTCAATTTCTTGGAAGAAGGACCTCCATTTGGAAGCGCCTGTCAATTGCACTGTGTACACTTGATACAAAATTTCCCACGATCACCAGCCTGCCTGCTGGATCCCATGCTCTTCCATGTGTAGTCTGATCCAGATTGGTTGAAGCGATCCCTAGCTTTTGCCAGCAGCCTGGGCCAAACATGACTTGTGGTGTAGCACACGTGTGTGCGCAGCAGCATACGGTAACGGCGAACGCCGCTAGCACTCCGGCCCGAACGACGTAAGCTTTTCTGCTAGTCTTCATTCCTCGACGCCATGTCCGCCAGTGACTCCTCTAGTGCTGTGCCCATCAAGGCTGCGCCGACCGGCAAGGCACCGCCGCAGTATCCGGCAGCGCCTGTTCCTGACCGAGGCATTCATCACGCCGTGGCTGGAATGCGTGCCGTGCTACAGGCGGGACGCCAAGGAGGTTACCCGGCGTGGTCGGCGCTGGCAGCCGAGATGACGATGGAGGACCGGACGGCGTTCATGGAGTTCGCGGCGGTGCTGACCTTGGTTGGACCCTCCACGCCGCCGCCTTTGGAACAGGTCACGGCGTACATGGGTGGCCTCTACTCCACCAGGGTGACAACGGCGGCGGAGGCAACAGGGACTACGACCCAGACGCCGGGGCAGCCTGAGGTTGCGCCGTTTACTTGGGCGGACCAGGTGCAGTGGAATGCGCAGCCGCCCTCTACCATTGCGCAGACCTTACGCCGCAACATCGATCGCATGGCCGCCGAGTCGGAGGTGGCATCAGGATCTTCGACGCCGGCGTTGCGGTTTGGCACAGATGTTTTCGGGGATCGGGTGAGGTTGCCGCCGCCGGGCGCGCTGAATCCACAGTCCCGACGTGTCTCCAGGCCAGCCTCGCCGCCATCATCAAGCGGCCATCTTCTCGCCGACGGCCGACGAGCTCCTCACGACGGCACAAGCTTCCAGGGCTGAGCCGGCGCGTTGTGGGGAGTCGGTGCGCGCGGCGGGTGCATGCGGGTGCAGAATGCGCCCGGCACCGGCTAGCCGTTCCAGCCTGCTTCGTCGCCGAACGGCGTGATACAGCGCTTACACCACACGACAAAAAGGAGTGCGTCGTATGAAAGTACAGTTTTGGATCAACGTCGGTCGGAGTGCTCCGCATGTTGGAGAAGCCGATCCAAATTTTGCCCGAATGACAGTGGAGCTGCACCACGGACATGTTCGTGCATGCAGTAAGTTCACTCCATGAGAATGCCAGGAAGACGTCCAAGAGCCCGTGGAAGCAAAGCTCTACAGGGAGGTGGCAGGGTGCATACGCTTATAAGACGATGGGCAAGTAGGATGCCAGTTGTATCAACATGATATCAATGTATGCAATGTGCTGCATCGACAGGCTCTCATGGACCTTCACCTCGCGTAGCTCGCCGAAAAGAAAGCAGCAAGTCTCCTTATATCCCTCTGCCTCGGTGGCTCTCTCTGTTGCCTCTCTCTCTTTCTTTCTCGCTCCTTGCTGGACTGCTGGTTGTGGACTGTCTCTGTTTCTGTGGTAATCTTGAAGCATCATCAGATGTAGAATGACGTCGGGAGGATTCGTTGCAGCCGAACCACGCGATACCCATCAGCACATGCAATAAGCTCCAAGCCGCCTCACTCCAGTGACCGTATCCGCAGTTCAGAGTGTGAGTCTGAAAGACCACTTCACCAGCGCCATGGTGGGACTGGTGGGTCGTCAAAGATTGCGAGCCACAAGAGGCCAAGACTCTCATGGGTAGGCCTCCAACCTTACCTCGCAGCAGTGCCTAGATGTGGCCAGGTGCCCTGGTGCTACTGGGCTGTGCGCTCTTCGCTTGTCGGGCCTGCTGTTTTACCCTCGCCGGAGGTTTGGCTGTGTTTTGGTGTGTTGCGTTTAGTGCCGTGCACGCAGCGGTGAAGCGTAGATGCTGAGTAGGCTCTGCAGCCGTTGGTGCGCGCAACTCAAGATCGGTCCTTTTCCCAGAATCAACTCTCGCTGCTGACGCGTGCTGCTACTGCAGCGGACTTTGGGAGGCTTTGGACGGGCCAAAGCCCTCGCCGCCTTCGTCGCGGCTTTCCCGAAGATATTGGCAGTCCAGCGGCCCTAAGCCGGAAGAGGAGAAAAGCCTCCATCGCTTCGGTCAGAAGATTGCGCTGGCGCTTGCTGCTTGTGCGGCTGTGCAGGAGACAGTGGAAGGAACTGTGATTCCAGGCGGGACGAATCAACAAGTGAGAGAAGTGGACGAATCAAAAACGAAGCAGAAACTACCGCCCAACTCCTAAGGTCTTATCCTCACTGCTCTCATCACCTACCTTGGAGTGGTGCCACTGACATTCGGGGAAGCTTGCCCATCAATGGCTTCGCAGTCTTTCCTCGGAGGCGGAAAGTTTCTCTGCTCAGGTAACGCCCGAGTTTCTGGTCTCCTTAGTCATTATTGCCATCTTGGGCATCTTTGCCAACACATGGGCGCTGGCTGTCAACATGAACCTGTCGCCAGCTTACGACAGCTTATTTCCCGAGGTGTCACACAACAAACGAACGAAAGCGCGGGTAATCGTAGAACTTTCTTGTTTTGCTTGTGTCTTGCGGGCTTTTGAGACTCTGGCTGCAAAGGCCGACGTGGATAGATTTTCAAATCCAAAAGCAGCGTCAAGAGAAGAAAGCCAAGGCCAGATAGTGCCGTGCAATTCTGCTTGCAAGAGTGTTCGGACTCCCCTTACTGTTCTTGGGCTCAAAGTCAGAACTTGCACAGCTGGCTTGCTTGTTACTGCATAGCCAGGAAAAAGCCTTTTGGCATCCCTTTATCTCACTCTTTCGGCATGCCGACCCGAAGACTGCATCAGCGCATCATGCATCGTCAGTGTGTCACCCACGATGCTGAGCTCGCTCAGGGCTGAAAATTTCGTCCTTGTCGTACAGACTTGCCTTCCAGTATGGTCGAAGGAGGTGCCTAATGTCGGTGGGACCAGGGGCATAATATTATCTGCGTCCGTCCAATCAGTCAGCGAAGGTATCATGTCGTAAATGGAAGGTAGGGTGGGTCTTCAAGCCAACCGTTGCAGATTTTTATTTCTTCAGGACCGACATGTCATGTCGGCTGCTCTGACCTTTCTCGTCGTCCTGGAATTTCTGCAGTTTCTGAGCTTGTTGGAATCCAGATGAAGCGCGCGGTCAGGAAAGTCCGTGGCCATGGTCCAGGTAACCTGGCGGAGTCCTGAGACACAGATCTGTGCGACCTTAGACGTGCAAAACGCGGTAACAGACTGCAGAGATTAGCACATGCCAGATCGCATGGCGACACCTTTTTCAATCCGATCGATTGTCTCAAAGAAGCCCACTTTGTCGAAGAGTGCTGACACCAGGCATGCTGAAGCAGCAGGGAGTTGAACCGAGTCAAGTGTCGCAGAGTTCCGTGCATTCTGAAGACTTCAGCGTATGTCCGTCCGACAGTGCAGTATTGCTCGCGCCGGTCTCTGCAGCATCTCTTGAACCATTGCCAAATGTCAGGACCAAACACCAGGTTGTGTTTGTGCCAACAGGACTGTGTGGATATTCTGACGGTGACTGCTGCGGAATTTTTTGGTCAACACATTTCTAAGATCACGTGCGACCGTGGCAGTTCGCAGCCGCCATTGGCACAGAAAACTCTCAAGCCTCAAGCTGTACGCACCTTAGCACGTCATCACCGCTGCACGTACTTCTCAGCATTTGTTACAACCGTTGACACAGTGTCAACTCAACAGAACCACCGGCAAGAGACTATTTCAGCAGGCAATCGCACCTCTGCCTGCATCGGCCTGCCGAGGGAAGGCGAGTCAAAGGCCTGAAGGAACCTTGCACCGATTTGGGAACCGCTGGACCCTGGGCTCAAAAGTCGCGCGTGCTTTTTCTTTGCGGTCTTAGCGCCTGCGTGAGAGTGGCGCCGCGCGGTCGGTGACTCAGCACTTCCAGAAGATGCGGTGGAGATTCACTTCGGAGGGTTTCCGGTCCTTCTTTTCAGCCTATTGCCGACCAGTTTGCATGGCTCAGGTCTCAGCCGGAGGGGCGGAGTGGAAGCTTGGGTGCATGGCCGAACCTATGAGGGTCGGACTCTGCAGTGACACTCACGATTCGTACTTGCTATTCGTAGCCTCTCAGATGTTGAGGAAGCTGTCCCCTGCCAGGCTTCCTTTCTTCAAACGGTCCCCGACAGTCTCAAAGTCGGTGCGCGGGTCGAGGCCTGTCTGGGTGCAATACGGTGCAATACCCAAAGGGCAGTCCCTGGCAATGATCTGCATGTGTCAAACCCTTTACGACACTGCATTGGTGATCGCAAGGCGCTCGGACAATTCACGGGAACCGTGAAGTTTGTCGGGCACCTTGGTGGCATAAAGCCCAGCCCACGGAAACCAAAGAAGTTGTCAATGTCGCCGGGTCTTGAAGACGTGCAGACGAAAGACAACAGGGGAAACAAATTATATACTGCGCAGGGTTGTGCTAGCTTTGCCACGAGGACGACGCAGTTTGCAGCTGGTCCGTGGATCGGTGTCGAGCTGGACGTCGAACACATTAGTGAGGGTTTCTTGGTGCATGCAGACTACTGCCTGCCGGCCATCAGTATGACATGGCATGCTTGCAGGACACACCGGATGGCAAGAATGATGGCACGATTCAGGGTGAAAGGCTCGTGGGCCGTTACGGGCGAACATGAATGTTTTTTTTGACACTTTGCTAGGTACTTTGACTGCAAAGCTGGACACGGCATATTTGCACGGCCGGCTGCAGTCAGGAACGGGTTTGTGATTGCACCAATCAGGGCAGCACTTGATCATCCGGGGCCCGTATTATTTGCCATGATAATCAAATGCTTGTTCCAAGTTCTCTTGGTGATCAATCTGCCGCGAGAGAAGGCGAAGAAACGAGTGCGAGCAAGCAGCCGGGGAATCCCTCGACAGCCCCCAGATGGAATCAGTTTTTTCAAATAGTCCGTTTCGAGAGGTAGGCGGGGAATTCGACTGTACCAGGGGGATCCCTTCAGTTATTTACCATTTCGTTGTCGGTACCCTGAAATCTTTCCTCTTCCTTCGCAATTTGTTGTGCCCATGCTGGCTATGCTGGTCGGCGACTTGGCGCTCCTCCTATCCACCTTGACACCGTTTGCTCTCTGGGAGGTCGACGTGAAATGGGTGGGGAAGCACCTGATGCTATTCCAGCCTCCCCAATCCACCGAAAATGATAGATGGGACGCGTCCCGCACAGACGACCGCCGGTCACATCCGGTCGCTCTAGCTGTGGCAAACAGAGCAAAGCCACAGACAGGGAGAGAGAGAGACATGTGGCCAGGAGCTTGGACACGCTTGTCCAACGCCCAGTTGGAGACAGAAGCACAGAAGCAAAGTTAAGCACACCTTTGCTGGCAAGAATGCTTTGGGTTGAACCAAATTGCTGAGTCCATGCCCGGACAAGTTCCAGAATCGTCGCCAGCGTCAACACCAAGTGCCGGAAGCTCAGCGCATCGCCGCTTTGGCACTTGCCGTGCTGAACTGGCTACACATGGTGCCATAGAGGCTGCAGCCGGACCGTTGCCGACTTAGTCTATGGACGCTTGCCATGGGCAAATCGTCGCGAGATTTTGTTTGGTCGCAAGGCAGTCTCCAGACTCCAGTCCTGGTGCAGTGTGGTCCCGACGGCAGAGCATAGACCTAGATTTGAGGTGGGAACCGGCGCCACAGGGGATTGTGGGCTACCCTTGGATTCCTGGAAAGTGGCAGGAGTGACATCTGCGTCGAAGACCGTGTGGACTTAACTGGAGTATTGAGCAGGCAGCTTACATATGCTGCAAGGCTCTACGAAGCAGAGCTGTTTTTTCTTACACACGGACTGAATGCCTGGCTGCCGCCCCGTATACATGAGGCGGCTGTGCAGATGAAGTGCATTCGCTGCACGAGGCTGCGGACGGAATTTGCCTGACGATAGGATGTCGTAGATTAAGAACGAGTGAAGCAAAAGCAAATTTTAAGTCAGTATGGCCCAGAACCATCGGCATCAATGTGCAAGGATAATCACAGTTACACGATGTCATTGCACGTGCACCAGCTGTGCTGAAGGCCGTCGACAAGCTCATTCAGGGCTCGGCATCTGCTTCGGCCCTGGAGATCAGCCCAAACTGCCACTCTCAGCGGTGCGTCCTAGTGGTCCTGGATGTCCTAGGTACAGAAAGCAAAGCTCGAGCCTTAGAGGAGCTGCAGGGTCCGATGGAGAGCCGGCGCTTTGAGCTGCCGTGCCCTGCAGTGAGGTCCGGGAGCGGGGACCAGGCGCAACGAACTCTGAAGTTTTTTGCGGCTCTACTGGACAACAGGACAAAAATAAGTTGCGGTGCAGGCGCTGGACAAGCTCACACCGGAGGAAGAGGTGGGCCTTGTCTCGCAGTTCTGCCGCAAGTTGCGCCTCGTCATGTGGTTGAACCATGCCAGGAGTGGCTGAACAAGGCAGCAGAAAGCTTAGCGAGGCAGAGAAAGACACATTCAAACATGTCAAGCGTGTCACACACATCGATTTGGGATCCCCGTGATCGATTTTTGGCAGGAGCTTCGAGGAGACGGATTGGGATTGATTCCCTGTGCTCCATGGTCATTCCAGACTGATTGAACAAGAGAACAAGCGGTGACATCCGTGCACGCAGGAGAAGCTCACTTCAGTGCTAGACGAGAAGCTGATGGCTCTTCCGGCCGTCGCCTTTTGACTGCCTGCCTGCGACCGAACCCCGAGCAGCGGCTGTGCGGCTGAGGCGGCGGCGGTCGCGCAGTAGCTCCACCCACGTGGGGCCCCAACGGCAGTCGACGAGACTGCTCTGATAATGTGGTGGATGCCCCAAGTCAGGGCATTCTTCATAGTGGGCCACGCGCAGAACAGAACTCAGAAATTCTCGTCAGCAAGTGAATCCAATCATTTCGCAGAATCTGTTCTGCGGTCCTGCTCATACAAGCTTATTTGCAGCACAAAAATATGACGGCCTCACGTGCGGCTGACAACCTCAGTCGACTGCATCGAGGAACAAGGATTCTACAAGATTACCAGACCAGGTGTGTCAGCCATCAGCAGGTGTGCAGGGCGCAAGAGGTGGCGCTTTGTGGATCTTTGTGGCATCCCACCGTATCCCACAGTCTGACAGAGAATCTGCAAAGTAGGCTCAGCAAAGTGAGCAACATCTTGCGAGGTGCACAGTAGCAAGGCGCTCTTAGCGAAGGAGGGCAACACCTCTCAGCGCCTGTTTGGGAAGACCGGGAGTCTGCAGTGTCGTCTTCCCCCGAGTGAGAAGGCGGTAGCCGTCGTAGCCCCTGCGGTGAAGAGTTTGGAAGCCTTGGTGAAGCCAGAGGCTTTGATGATCTGAGTCTGTTGATCCCATGTTAAGACTGCGAAAGTCCGGCCGCTATGCCCATGTCCGGTCGAACCGCTTTTACATCGCTGAGCTGCGCTTGGCCATTCGATGCCGTCTTTGGCTTGCAGCCTTAGGCCTTGGGCTAGGGCCAAGTCGACGCACATGCGATGCTGCGTTGAGTGCACGGTCGGAACGCACTCGTTCCCTCATCGGTGTACCGATGCAGTGCAGAGTAGCCTAGCAGAGCAGAATTTCGAATGGTATCAGTCTTGTTGCTGGCACACGTCTGCGCTCGAGTGGTGGTAGTAGAGTAGTAGCTACAGTAGTAGCTGAAGAGCACGCGATGCTGGGAGACGCCATGGTGCGGAAATGGCCGAGAAGGGCCTCCTCAGAAGGATTTTCACAGCCGTGCAGAAGGCCAGATGTGAAGATGATAGAGTGTGCATTGAGGATGCTAGAGACTGGATCAGAAGTCATGTTGATACTGTTTTGAACGAAGGCGCCTGATGCCACGGCATTGCTATGGTACGACCCATCGAGCGGCGTGCACAAGGTGGCAGCCTCAAGTCGCAGCGACGCGTCTGGAGTGCTGTGCGTCTTTCCCCCCTGCCTGGGCACGACGAAAGCCGTCGGATTCTGGCCCTGCATGAAGCTGATACGATGCGTATCAACTGCACATGAAGGCAAAGCGCTACCAGAGCTACAAGGAGGTCTGGACGGTGGCATCGCAGGCCGCCGCGGTGCTCCGATCACTCTCGCAGCACGAGACGGAGACCGAGAAGACCGCTTTGGGGGATGTCTCCGTGCGAGTTGGCCTTATGCTCGGAGGCCCTCAAACCGTATCGAACTGAAAGAATTGCGCTGCAAAACTTGCGCACTCCTTGAGGCGGACCGGCTCTTGCGGTGCTCGAGCTCGCAGTGCTGCTGGCGGGCTTCGCTTTGGTGCCGCTGGATGCAGAAGAGCCACTGCCTCGTCTGCAGTTCATCATGGAGGCTCCTCGCAGGGCGTTGCAGGGCAGGGAAGCGCAACTGGTGTGCCGATGTGAAGGATGCCGGACCGCTGCTTGCCTTAGTCGTGGCTGAGCCTCAAGTTGAGAAAGCCCAGATGCTGCTGCAGAATGGTTCTGGAGGTCGGAATCTAGCGAAAGCCTGAGTTCAAGAGGCAAAGAGTGCAGTCAGAGGAACAAAGCTTCTCCGAGATTCCGAACTTTTGCGAAGCGAGGCGGGGTGAGACCTTTGACGAATGTTTGGGTTTGCGTTGCTGTCATCTTTGACTGCAGCTTGTAGCCTGCTCACCCGCACTCCACGTCCAGGTGGCTGAGACCTCTGACTGTCGACCGCCAGCTGACTTCGTTGAAGAGCAGATATCTCACATCTTTTTCACTTCGGGAAGTACTGGACGTCCTAAAGGTTGCATGTGCAGCTTCCACAACCTGGTCACATATTGCTTGGCGAAGAATACCATCCACCAGGCTGGTCGGATCGCAAACCCTCGTCTCCCTGCGCACGCACGCCTCTCCCTGTCCATCTGTGCGTCCCCCGTGTGTTCATGCAGACCTCGATCTTCAGCAGCGCAAACGAAGCTACCTGCATACACAGTGCTCGCGTCCCGTCGCAGCAGCTGACATACTTCCTACCTGCACCACTGGAAACCGGTAGCTGCCGTTAACCGTCGAGAACAGATGTTTTCCAAGAGATCGTTCTGACTAGGGAGTCCTACCCCTACGGCTGATGCACCGTCGGCAAGAACATGCAGCTTTGCAGAGCTTGAGCATGAGGGAGCCCGCAAGTGTTTGTGGGCGGATGCAATAGCTTGAGCCTTGGGGCTCAAAATGCACCAACGTCTGAGATAGTGATTGCCAGCATGTACGTATGTGTGATCGCAACTGCTGTGTGACTCTGGGCTCGAGGAGCCTCTGGCACACTGAGAAGCACATAGCATGACAGCACGCAGCATGCTTCTTGCCCCGTGTCATCCTCCACAGCACCTGCCAGAAGATCAACACATGATTGTTTTGCCTGTGTGCCTGTCTTGTCTCGGGCAGGTCGATAGTTCCAGCATCGTCTTGGTCGCCAGTGCGCACACCTTCGACCCGCTGCTCGACAGGCAAGGCCATCCACTGCTCCTAAGGACTTCAGTTGGTGTTTGGGCGTAGGCGAAGCATGGCTAAGCCTAGGACGAACCCATGCGCAGCATGGGCTGAGTTGGTAGGGACGAGAGGGGTAACCCGGTAACCCCCCTTCCATGCAGCATCGGAAGTGCAGTCCACAACAGTACTCCCATGGCCGCTCAACATTGAGTCTACAGCGAACAGGTTCGATAAAAGCCAGATCCGCAGGGTACTGTTGGAACAGCCCGAGAAAGATCCCAGGTCTTTGGGCGACTTCTTCGCCACGTGGGTGGCGGGTGCCACCGTGGCCTTGGCACCACGGGCGGTGCTGCAGGCAGCGCTCGGAAGCTGCCTGAGCAACACCGAGGCGCCTTGGTTGGAAAATGCGGGGCAGCTGGGAGCTGGCTGGGCTGCTTGGGTGTCACTCGTACTTGCTTCTCTGCCAGAGGCGAGCCACATTCAAACAACTCCTGGGCATTTTGCCACCATGGAGGCCTCGGTGTTCTGCAAGTTTGTGCGGGGTGGCAATAGGATCCGAGTATGCCAGGCGGGAGCTGCTCCTCACTTGCGAGTGGTCGCCTTAGGAGGAGTGGGCCCGAAAGCCGACAGCTTGCCGTCAACAGCTGCCCTGCCCCTGCAGGCGAGCTGATGCCGCAGCCACTCCTTGCTTGGGCCGCTGATGTCCGTCAGCCTCTTAAAGATTGCCGCAGATCTTGGTGTCACGGTATGCTCGTTGAAAGAACATACCCTTACAGCTTTAGGGCTCAACGGTTCTGGTGTGTCTGTTCGAAAAGCGTGCTGACGGGTGCACTCTTGCTTCATCAGCTGAGTATGCCAATCAGTGCGCATGTAAAGAGTCAAGTGAAGGTCTGCTCAACACATATGGTGTCACGGAGTGCACAGTTTATCAGGCCCACGCCTCAGTTCCGATGGGGGTCCAACGGTCGCGGCTTCTCACAAACCTGCACAGGCAGCCGCAGTGCTCTCGCCACAGAGCAGCCCTCGCTTGTTGGGGTCCGCGCTCCCGGGCACAAGGCTGCTGCTCGCAGCTGGCAGAGGACAGGGGCTTCCTCTTCCCGTTCTCTGACTCCATCTCCCCGGAGACCCCTACTTCAGGCGACGATCCGAAGACCTGTGTCGAGGCGGGGTGACGGGCTGAGTTTGCAAGCAGCTTGGTCCTTTCTGGATTTCTGCAGGACAGCAGCGATGAACACGGCGAGCTGTGGATCGCTGGTCCACAGGTCGGCCTGGGGTACGTGAGGCCAGGGCCGGCAAGAAGCTCACGGAAGCCAGGGAGCGGTGCTTGGAGCCTTTGGCCAGGCGCCCGGATCTGACGTCGGAGCGGTTCCGGGACTTCCCGGGCCTTGGCCGCTGCTTCCGAAGTGCCAGAGCTCAGCGGTTACGGGGAATCGCCACGGAAGAGGGGCCAGAACGTCACAGACATGTGACAAGGCGGCGACCTGGCTGCAGCTCGAGGCGGCGCTGCATTCTCTCCGACCGACTGGACTGTGCGAAACCGGCGACCTCAGATGGGGGCTGGCAGCTGCTGGGACGCCGCGACGGTATGGTGCTCCTCAGCTGGCCAAGCAAAGTTCAAGGTCTGAAGGTCCACGGAGCTTCATCAGAGTTGAGGAAACTGCGTGGTCGCCGGGTGGAGCTCGGAGAGGTGGAGGAAGTGTTACTGGCTGCAGCGCAGCTTGTCGTCAATTTTTGGGTCACTGCCGGACAATCCGATGCCTGCACCGAACAAGGCCCGAGGTCATTTCCGCGGCGGCTGCTGTCCTGGCGCATCCAGGTCCTCGACTTGTTCTGTACTGCGTGCTGCAAGGACTGCTGTGTCCGGATCACGAAAACCCGCAGTACCCGAACTTATCGATGCCTTGCCCGTGCCGCAAGTGCTGCCCAGAACGACATAGCTAGAGCCTTGCAGCCGCGAGGACAGCAGCCGGCAGACTGCGAAGAAGTGTCCTGTGCGCTGCTGCGACGTTTGGGAGAAGATCGGCTGCCTCCTCACATGGTCCCGAGTGCGGTAATTGCGGTGGCATCGCTCCCTATGACCGGTACCGGGAAGGCGAGCGAAGTTCAGAGAAGCACAAATGTCAGAATATCCGTGTCCCTGTGTCCCCGGTGCCAGGTCTCACGCAGGGACTTGGCACAAAGGGCCTTGCCCGAGGACCCAGAAGGTCAAGCAGACCTATCTGGGGCCACGGGAAGCATAGCTGCCGCCTGGAGCGAGGTGCAGCCAAGCTCAGCATCCTTGCGTGCGCTTGGACATGCTTTGAAGCTTGGAGGTGCTCGGAGTCCCTGTTCGAAGCCCCAGGGCGCACTTCCTGGCTTTGGGAGGGGACTCCTTGGCTGCGCTGCGCGTGTGCCAGCGCTTGGCCAAGAGGACATTCCGCCTTTGAAGCTTCAACGCATGCTTTTGGTCTGCTGCTGAACGGGTCGAGGGGGCCTTTGAAGCCAGGAGTGCAAAAGAGGTGGGCTCCTTCGGCGAGCTCTTGCCGGAGCCTCTGCAGGGGCCTCAGACGACCGAGTCACGGTCAGACAGAGATGTCCATTACATCACAGCCGCTGCCCCCAATGCCTCCGTCTCTCCCGTTCTGGCCGAATCGACGGGTCAACAAAGAAGGCGCTCAGATTCTGAGAACTTCTGAGATGAGAGATGATGAGAGGTTCTACTACTACTACTACTACTACTACTACTACTGCTACTGCTACTGCCACTGCCACTGCCACTGCCACTGCTATTGCTACTGCTACTGCTACTGCTCCCCTGCTGCTGCTGCTGCTGCTGGTGCTGCTGCTGCTGCTGCTGCTACTACTAACTACTACTACTACTACTACTACTACTACTACTACTACTACTGCTACTGCCACTGCCACTGCCACTGCTATTGCTACTGCTACTGCTCCCCTGCTGCTGCTGCTGCTGCTGCTGGT